CCAACCTATCCCACACCCAATCCCAACCCATCCCAATAACCAAACCCAACCCATCCCACACCAAACCCATCCCATCCCACACCTAACCCCATCCCATCCCACACCCAACCCAACCCCATTCCACACCAAACCCACCTATCCCACACCAAACCTTACCTATCCCACACCAAACCTATCCCATCCCACACCTAACCTATCCCATCCCACACCTAACCTATCCCATCCCACACCTAACCTAACCTATCCCACACCTAACCTATTCCATCCCACACCTAACCTATCCCATCCCACACCTAACCTAACCTACTTCCCACTTACCCTCAAATATGTCAGCTTTGTTCTGAGTAAAGGCTTGTGTCTCAGATCTTGGAATGCATCACATGTGTATAAAAAGGTAAGTGACCTCTTCTGACCTGAGACAAGACACGGAAAATATCCAAACTTACATTCACACCCACAAAAAAAATCCCCAACCACTCTTGTTTTGTTGTGTTTTTCTTTTTGATTTTTGTTTTTGTACTTGTGGGGGGGGGGTTTCATTTCCTCCCTTCGTGACTTGACTGATGTATGTTGTTTTGGTGAGTAAGATGATGTATTTTCTTCTCTTAAATGTGACGTCAATAGTACATATAAATTGACTGTTGTTAGATTAATTGGGGATTTAGATAACGTCACCTTATTTCACCTGATGATTAGACACGCCTAGCATTACCTGGGGATTGGGTTATAGGTTAAGTTTGATTATGTTTGGTTTGGCTAGGTTAGGTTAAGGTAGAAGGTTTGGGGTCAGGTTAGTTTGGGTCAGGTTAGGTTTTGTTAGGTTATGTTATGTTAGGTTAGGGTAGGGTAAGGTTAGGTTAGGGTATGTTAGGTTAGGTTAGGTTAGTTAGGTTGTTAGGTTAGGTTATGTTAGGTTAGGTAGGGTATGTTAGGTTAGGGTATGTTAGGTTAGGTTAGGTTAGGGTATGTTAGGTTAGGTTAGGTTATGTTAAGATAAGTTAGTTTAGATTAGATCATGTTAGGTTAGGTTAGGTTAGGTTAGATTTCCGATTAGATTATTATTAGAGAGTATCTAATCATCGGGACCTCCTTTGTACCTGAAGAAGAGGTTAAAGGTCACCACCACCAAGGAGAGACTCAGTCAAGAGTGTCTCAGAGGCTTAATGGTTAATGATCAGAGTCATGTCCTTCACCCTGACACCCTCATACTCTCTCCTGCTGGTGCATCTTTACTCACTCCCTGACACCCTCATACTCTCTCCTGCTGGCATCTTTACTCACCCCTGACACCCTCATACTCTCTCCTGCTGGTACATCTTACTCACTCCCCCTGACACCCCTACACTCTCTCCTCCTGCTGGTACATCTTTACCACTCCCTGACACCCCTCATACTCTCCTGCTGGTGCATCTTTACTCACCCCTGACACACCCTCATACTCTCTCCTGCTGGTACATCTTTACTCACTCCCTGACACCCCTTTCTCTCTCTCCTCTGGTACATCTTTACTCACCCCGACACCCTCATACTCTCCTGCTGGTACATCTTTACTCACCCCCTGACACCCTCATACTCTCTCCTGCTGGTACATCTTACTCACCCCTGACCTCATACTCTCTCCTGCTGGTGCATCTTTACTCACTCCCTGACACCTCATACTCTCCTGCTGGTGCATCTTTACTCACCCCTGACACCCCATACTCTCCTGCTGGTACATCTTACTCACCCCTGACACCCCCATACTCTCCTGCTGGTACATCTTACTCACCCCTGACACCTCACTCTCTCCTGCTGGTACATCTTACTCACTCCCCTGACACACCCTCATACTCTCTCCTGCTGGTACATCTTACTCACTCCTGACACCCTCATACTCTCGCCTGCTGGTACATCTTTACCACTCCCTGACACCCTCATACTCTCCTGCTGGTACATCTTACTCACCCCTGACACCCCTCATACTCTCCTGCTGGCATCTTACTCACTCCCTGACACCCTCATACTCTCTCCTGCTGGTACATCTACTCACTCCCTGACACCCTCATACTCTCGTCCTGCTGGTACATCTTTACTCACTCCCTGACACCTCATACCTGCCTGCTGGTACATCTTTACTCACTCCCTGACACCCTCATACTCTCTCCTGCTGGTACATCTTTACTCACCCTGACACCCCTCATACCTCTCCTGCTGGTACATCTACTCACCCCTGACACCCTCATACTCTCTCTCCTGCTGGTACATCTTTACTCACTCCCCTGACACCCCATACTCTCTCCTGCTGGTGCATCTTATCACTCCCCTGACACCCCTCATACTCTCGCCTGCTGGTACATCTTTACTCACCCCACACCCCCATACTCTCTCCTGCTGGTGCATCTTACTCACTCCCCTGACACCTCATACTCTCGCCTGCTGGTACATCTTACTCACTCCTGACACCCTCTACTCTCCTGCTGGTACATCTTTACTCACTCCCTGACACCCTCATACTCTCCTGCTGGTGCATCTTATCACTCCTGACACCCTCACATACTCGCCTACTGTGTGTGTGTTTTACCCTGACAAATAAATCTAATTAGAAAAGTTGTTCACCATAAGTTTACTAAAGTTTATCATTAAAAATAAATAAATTAATCCCACACCCAGACCACATACTCAGTCCTACACGTGGAGCCACTTAATAAATAATAACTAATTCATTAATCCACTAACCACATCACGTATCACTCATTGGCCGTGACGTCACTCCTACATCACGTATCACTCATTGGCCGTGACGTCACTCCCACATCACGTATCACTCATTGGCCGTGACGTCACTCCTACATCACGCACCACTCATTGGCCGTGACGTCAGTAGCCCTTAGCGGTAAACAGACAACCAAAACAATAATTTTTTTATGAGTCTTTTTAATTGTTTAACTTCCTGCTTTAATCACTATATAAAACTTGTAATAAAACGGAATTGGTTTATTAATCATAGAGTCTGGTTTATTAATTATTTTTTTTAAAGGTTAAGGTTGGGTTTATCCTTTTGTTCTTGTTATTTTTGTTGTTCTTGTTCTTATTTATCGTCTTATCTTCTCCTTCATCCTTCTCTTTTCGTCTTCATTCTCCTCTTTCCTTCATTTCCTTCATAGCGGAAATAATCACTCGGGAAATAATCACAATAAGAAAGAATAAACTTTCTATCTTTGTTATCGGGAACTACGAGACCCTAGGTGTGATGTCTGTTTAAATGTTACATACCAAACGAGGATGTGAATAATTTATGTGTAAAACGTCGTGTGGATGTAGATAATGTATGTATAGTTGTGAATAATATATGTATACTTGTGAATAATGTATTTATAGGTATGAATAATGTATTTTTTGGTGGGGATAGAGTATTGCTGGTAGGTGTATTATTAGCGTGTGTGATAATTATGGGGTAAGTTAATGTCTTTAAATATGCTTTCTGTCTGTCTATTTCAAGATCTTTACCCAGTGGTGTAAATTTTAGGAGTTATTATTAATATTATTATTATTATTACTATTATCATTATTATTATTATTACTTTTATTATAACTATTTTTATTATCATTATTATTATTATCACTAGTTTTGTTATTATTATTATTATTATTATTATCATTATTATTATTATTTTTCTCTCTATCTCAGTCCAGTTCATATTGACGTCATGGATTAAGAATTTATAGTCAAGAGTTGAGTCGGAATTCTTGCTCTACCCTCGTGATAATTAATACCTCAAGTGATGGTGACTTCAAGTGTGGATACATCAACCTGGTGATGGGGGGAGGAGGTAGGGGAGAGAAGAGGGAGGGGAGGGGAGGGGAGGGGAGGAGGAGGGGAGGAGGGAGAAAGAACAGAGGAGGGGAGGAGGAGGAGGGGGGAGAGAAGAGGAGGGAGGGGAGGGGAGAAGAGGAGGAGGGGAGGGGAGGGAGGTGAAAGAACAGGAGGGGGAGGAGGAGGAGGAGGGGGGGAGAAGAGGAGGAGGGGAGGGAGGGGGAGAAAGAACAGAGGGGAGGAGGAGGGGGGGGAGAAGAGTGAAGGAGAAGGATTAGGGAAGAAGTGTGAAGGAAGAGGGAGAAGGGGAAGAAGTGTAAGGGGAGGAGGAGGGGGGGAAGAAGAGGAGGAAGTGGAAAGAGGAGAGAGTAAAGGAGGAAAAAGAGAGGGAACACACACAAAGACAATAAATTGGGTCAAAGCTTAATCTCCTCCAGAAGGAAAAATATAATGTATAGTTTGTATATTTTTAGTCGAGGCTTATGAATATGTGATGTGGTAGTGACTTGTTTGTGTGGTGATGGTGGTGTTGTGGTGTGGTGGTGATGGTGGTGTTGTGGTGGTGTGGTGTTGATGGTGGTGTTGTGATGATGGTCGTAGTGGTGTGGTAATGTTTAGATAGTTTTGTGGTAGTGGTGGTGATGGTGTAGTAGTATTGTGGTGATGGTGGTGGTGTGGTGGTGATGGTGTAGTAGTATTGTGGTGGTGATGGTGCTGTGGTCAGGTTCATATATCTAGTGTCTGTATGTTAGTTCATCTCTCTTCTCCATTACATGTATACTCTTATCTACTGTATAGTTTAAGTAAAGTATAGTATAGTCTCGGTGTGTTTTGGAAGCCATTTTGGATTCATATGTTTCATCGTTGTTCTTCTTTATTTCTTCTACTTTCTGTCTGTCTGCCTGTCTGTTTCCTCTCTCTCTTTCTTTTTCTTCTTCTCTGTCTGTCTGTCTCGCTTTTGATTTTGTTTTCAGGTTATACTTTAGTTGTTGATTGTATTTCCAGGTTACAGTATAGTTATTGATTGTATTTCCAGGTTAAAGTATAATTATTGATTGTATTTCCAGGTTACAGTATAGTTATTGATTGTATTTCCAGGTTACAGTATAGTTATTGATTGTATTTCCAGGTTAAAGTATAATTATTGATTGTATTTCCAGATTACAGCAGTTATTTCTTATACTTAACCTTACTATTTCTTTCCCAGGGCTCTGAGAATCTGGCGCTGCGATTAAAAGACTCTGCAGTGACCCAACAACAACAACAACAGCAACAACAACAACAACAACAACAACAAGCATCGTCAAGCAAAATAGCGTCATCGAGTGTAGGCTTAGCAGGTGGAGGAGCATCTGGTGGAGGGGGTGCTGGGGGCGGTGCTGGGGGAGGGGGAATAGTGGTACCTTCGTTGTTCCTAGACGAGGATGCCTACATAGCAGCTGCCACCTTGACCCCTGGAGCTGATGCCTATGATAGGAATAAGTTCAACCAGGCAGAGAGTGATAAGCTGCCGTCTAATAGAGCCATACCTGACACGAGGCATTTTACGTGAGTACCTTGATTGATTGATGTGTTTTGTATACCTGTTAGGATGACTTGGGTTTACCTGTTGGCCAATACCTGTTATGCCTTTCATAACCTGCTAATTGGTTTCTTTTAGAGAGTTTGATTATGTTAGGTTTGGTTAGGTTAGGTTAGAGAGGGTTTGGTTAGCTTAGGTTATGTTAAATTGTAGAGGGGAAGGTTAGATTAGGAGACAGAGCGAGCAAGAGAGAGAGAGTCAGTGTACAATATATTGGAGGTATAGAGATTTCATTTTGACCCACCCCAACCAATTTACTTGATGCACCTGACATCTGGACAACCTTTAAAAAATAAATACTGTTCCCTAGAATATAACATCACCTAATTTACCTGTGAACATTATTACACCTACCTTAATTGATCTACTTAACACACGTCTATATTCCTCACCTGAATTGGGTCTTTAGTTTGTTTATCTTTTATTCCTCTGTATTATATTCGTCTGTATGTGTGTGTGTGTCTCTTGCGGCACTGAAACATCTTTGTAATTATTATCCTCATTTAGTTACTGTAATTTGTTCCTGTTTGGTTCATGAGGTTACAGGATGTTATATCACGGTGCTGTATCCTGTTCGCTCATGTTATTTTTTTCCTTCCCCTGACAGTGACGGAGGAACGTGTTGGGGGGATGGGGGGGTTAGATGGGTCAGTCGTGTAGAAAATATGATTAGTGTGTGTGGGGAGAGGAAGTTTCATTTGCAAAGGATTGCTCACTCAAGTTCTGGCCAGTGCTGATAGTGGAGTTTGGGATTTACTACACACACACACACACACACACACTTACACACTAAATCATCACCGTGTGCCTCTGTTCCCCACCTTTATTCAGCTCCTCTTATTCTCCCTCAGGCATTTTAGGGTTTTTTTTTCTCCTACACCCCTTTCTTCCCCTTGGGGACCTGAGGGGCGCGGTTACCACATCCCTCCAAGCCCCCCCGGGAGAACTCACAGCCCCGGGGAATTCTCATTGAGGAACTAACAACTAGGGAAACTCACATTGGGGAACTCATAGCCTAGGGAAACTCACATTGGGGAACTCACAGCCTTGGGGAACTCATAGCCTTAGGAAACTCACACATTGGGGAACTCATAGCCCAGAGAAACTCACACATTGGGGAACTCATAGCCCAGAGAAACTCTTTGGGAAACTCATTGGGGAACTCAAAGCCCAAGGAAACTCACATCTTTGGAAACTCACCTCTTGGGGAACTCACAGCTATTGGGAAGAAACCATCCGGGAGAGTTGTGACTATAGCAGATACGATTGAATTTAATCCCCGGAAAAAAGAAATAATCACAGGTTTTGGTCTACAGGAGGAAGTAATGTTTGTCTTCCCGCTGAGTTAAGTGTCTTCATTACATCCACTTGCAAGATGATGATGCACTTGAGTCATTGTTTATCACGCTGAGTCAAACTACACACTCAGAATACTTACTGTCATTGTCTCATTTGGTGTGGCTTCTGGTGTGGTTTCAGGTGTGGTTTCTGGTGTGGCTTCTGGTGTGGTTTCAGGTGTGGTTTCTGGTGTGGCTTCTGGTGTGGCTTCTGGTGTGGTTTCAGGTGTGGTTTCTGGTGTGGCTTCTGGTGTGGCTTCTGGTGTGATTTCAGGTGTGGTTTCTTGTGGTTTCTGTGTGGCTTCGTGGCTTCTGGTGGCCTGTGTGATTTCAGGTGTGGTTTCTGGTGTGGTTTCAGGTGTGGCTTCTGGTGTGGTTTCATGTGGCTTCTGGTGTGGCTTCTGGTGTGGTTTCAGTGTGTGGTGTCTGTGGCGTGTTTGTGGTTCTGTGGCTTTGGTGTGGTTTCAGGTGGTTTCTGTGTGTTTGTGGTCGTGTGGCTTCTGTGGCTTTGATCATCTGTGTCTTGTTGAGGTAAATTTAAGACACTTTAGTTTACCTGATAGCGTAGCTCTGAGGCGATGATTAATGGGTCTGCCAGCCGATTTCTCTCTCTCTCTCTCTCTCTCTCTCTCTCTCTCTCTCTCTCTCTCTCTCTCTCTCTTCATCTTTCATCTTTCTGTATCTTTTTCTCTCTGTATCTCTCTCTATCTTTCTCTGTATCTCTTTTTTCTCCTCTTGTCTATTTGACCTCTCTCTCTCTCTCTCTCTCTCTCTCTCTCTCTCTCTCTCTCTCTCTCTCTCTCTCTTCTTCTTCCCCCAGGTGATAATGTAGAGAAACTTTATGGTGTAGGAAGGGCTGGAGGGGAGGGGCTTGTTTACCTGTGAGAAGGACTCATTCCCTCGCTCCTGGCTGTCGTCTGGTCCTTGTTCACTCAGAGTGTTGGGAGGAGGTGTGTTGGAGGGAGGGAGAGAGGGGTGGTGGAGGAGGAGGGAGGGAGGGGCAGGTTGGTGGAGGAGGAGGGGTTATGAAGGAGGAGGGAGGAGGGCTGTGGTATAGGAGGAAGAGGGAGGGAGAACATATTTTAGTTGTGTTTAGTTCACCAAGATAATAAGTTAACCTTTTGTAAACAAGACGGTGGAAGGGGGGCTTATGTTGTGTGTGTGTGTGTGTGTGTGTGTGTTTTGATGCGTCACACACACACACACACACACTCACACTCAATTAGCGAGACTGGCATTTATCTCCTTCTACTGAGTGTGTGTTATCGGGTCTCTCTGCTGGTGCATCCTTCCTGTCACCGAATTTTGGTATCTGGTCCTGGTATCGGGTTCTGGTATCGGGTCCTGGTATCGGGTGTTGCTATCGGGTTCTGGTATCGGGTCCTGCTATCGGGTTGCTATCGGTTCTGTATCGGGTCCTGTATCGGGTGTTGGTATCGGGACCTGGTATCGGGTGTTGCTATCGGGTCCTATTAATGACAATGGCGGTGATATTTAACTGAGACTAGCGTTATTTTGTCAAACTTTAACACAATATTAACTTAAATAATACAAGCCTTCACTTGATCAACTTACACACACACACATGACTGCAGGAAGGAATGCAAATGTGTGTGTGTGCAAGGAACAAAGCAGGGAGAGGGAATTGAAAGCAGGGATATACACGGCTTCAGGCAAGAATACACACAACTACAGGAATGCACAGTATACGACTGAAAATCTGAATGCACAGTTCGGAAAATTCAAAGACGCAGCCGGGAAGGAGGAATGAACGCTTTAAAATTAGAAATGCGCGGTTCAAAAAGGCAGGAATGCACAATCCAACAAAGAAGAATGCACAGTTCATCAAATAGGAATGCACACTGCTACAGGCAAGAAATGCACAGTGCTGTAAAGAGGAATGCGCAGGTTATCTTGCAGGGAACACATCTGGAACTTAGCACAGCGCGATAAGTGTATAACAGGCTCATCGGACCAACACCCACACGCCAGACACACGGGCTTATGAGAGAGAGAGAGAGAGAGAGAGAGAGAGAGAGAGAGAGAGAGAAACCACAGGGGGTCATAATATCGATTCCTCTTGTGTTCAGTATACAGGAGTTGGTCGACCGTATAGTGCCACTGTGAACCTAGGCTGTACGCTGATCCACACACACCCACACAGACTACCAAATTCACCCCGTTAAACACTCACACCCACACTCTCACCCACCCCTTCACCCGCCCTCACACATCCCTCACCCCTGCCTCTCACATCCCTCCCTCCCCCTCAACTTCACCTTACCCACCCTCACCCCCCCCTCACACCCCCTTACCCACCCTCACACACCCTCACCCATCCTCACACTCCCCCACCTCACACCCCTTCATCCTCACTCACCATCTTACACCTCCTCACCCCACCCCTCACCCTCCCCCACCCACCCCCCTACCCACACCCTCACGCCCCCCCACCCCTCCCCCTCACACACCCCTCACCCTCCCCCACCCTCCCCACCCTCCTCCCCACCCTCCCCCACTCACCCCCCACCCCTCCCCCTCACCTCCACCTCACCCTCCCCCACACCCCTCACTCACCCCTCATCACCACATGTGTTGGTAGTAATGGACGCGTCTTCGTGCCGGCCAAAACTTTCGTCAACTTGCCTTTACAACATATACACAAGTCTAACTCCTCCCTCACGCCCGCCTTCTTCCGCCCACTTCCTGTCCCTGTTCCCTCTTCCGCCCAATTTCTTCCCTCACTCGCCCCCTTCCACCCAACTCCCGACCCCTTCCACCCAACTCCCACTCTCTTGGACCCAAATTCCACCTAACCCTGCCCACATCCACCCTCCATCAGTCTTCTAGCAGGCCGCCCCCCACCCACACATCGTTGCTCTTTTGTCCAGTGTCTCAGTCAACATCTTCCACCTCCAGTAGCATGTGTCTATACCCACGGCTGTTTGTTTTGGTGTCGCGTAAGGCAGCTCTATGTCCGCCTGACCTGACTGACTCACTGGGGTTTACATTTCGAGGAGGGAGACTTGGTTGATGTTATACCACTACTTTAACTCAGTCACACCCAACACCACTACTTCCTCAACGCAGCCACACCACCATACCACCACCCCAACGTAGCCACACCCTATACCACCTCCTCAACGCAGCCACCACCATACCACCACCTCAACGTAGCCACACCCCTATACCACCTCCCCAACGCAGCCACACCACCATACCACCACCTCAACGTAGCCACACCCTATACCACCTCCTCAACGCAGCCACACCACCACCACACCACCTCAACCAGTGACAATTTTCCCTATATAAACACAAGTACTAAATGACGCTGCACTCGACTCAAATGCCAACTCACCTGGCTATTACCTCCTATTACAGTTATCCTTGACACTTGATCTTTGAACTTTAGAAATAGTCAATAGCTTTAGAACTAGTTATTGTAGCCGGTTTGTCGTTGGGAATATAAAAGGGACGGATGAGACCTAACCCCCAGGTACACACACACACACACACACACACACACACACACACACACACACACACACACACACACACACACGCATACATACATACACACACACACACATACACATAATTAATCCATACATACCTTTTGACCTGAC